TAAAAATGACCTGAAAAATAACTTCTATGAGACTTGAACACACCAACTTTGTCAAGAGAAACATATCTAACTATTTAAAGAAAAAATACTTACCTTGCCACCTTGGTTTTGATGTAAGTCATAAAAAATGAATTTGATTTTATAATGATGACTGATATCTTTACCTTTTCTTGTAGTCATGCCCTTACATTAGTTAATGTCAACTTATAAAGTGCCCTGCCCATGATTTACATTGAAAATCTTCATCATTTTCAACTCTTATAACACCTGCCAATTACCCAATTGAGATGGTTACTCAGACTTTAGAGTCCCTTTGAATATTGAGGCCCAAGATCAAACATGCAAAACTACAGACTGTTTTTCATTCATTCAATTTAAATTTGACAGAATTGATGAAAATAATCAAAAGGCTTTCGTAATTATACTTCATTTTTCTTTGAAATTTCAAAAAAAAAAAACCATCGAAGAAAGTGTTAAGGAGATTTATGGAATAAAAAATCATGGACCTAAATGGCAAACCAAACACTTCTTAATGAAAAAGGTTGATTAAGTAAATAAGTTGTAAAATATTTGGGATGTTTTAGTAAAAAATGAAGACTATAAGTTAGGTTTAAGTAAATATGTAAAACTATAAGGTATGTTCTAGTAAATGACCCTAATAGAAAAGCATAAGTGTATACAATTGTTTTATATTTTTAACTTTTTAAATAATTAATAATTATTCATATTTTATATACTACTTTTCATATATTTTTTATAATACAAAAATAACAATAATTAATTTCAATTAGGTTTATTCATCAAACTGATGAAACCAACCTGATCAACTCGATCCAAGTTGGTTGGTTTTCTAATATTTTAGGTCAGCTTTGGTTAAAAAATTTCTCAATTCGACCAAGTTGGATTAGTTTCACTTGGCCATTTGTAAACCAACCAAAATCGAACGATCTAACCATAGATATATATTAATATTTTATATTTTAAATATAATTTTTAATATGAAAAAGTGGAAATTTTCCCATATTTCTTAGTCTAAAATGTTTTATATCATAAATCTAATTTTTAATTTTTTAATAATTGCACTGAAATTTTTAAAATTAAATTAAATTTTTAAGTTTAAATCTTTTGAACCGACTGAGCAAACCAAAAAATCAACCTAAACGATACAACTTGAGTGGGTCGGTTTTCACAAAAGGTCAATTGGTTTCATCTCACCAACTCCGCAACCTGATCAAGTCAATTTGGTTGACCAAATAGCCTATGACCGAATCGAACCAACTCATGAACACTCATAATTTTAGTTAAATTAATAGTCTCATCTCTAATAAATAACAATAGTTTAATCTCCAATAATTATTGAAAATTTATAGCAATATTATGTTATGATTTTTTAATTTTTTTATTTTATTGCATAATTTCGTTATTTTAACTATTTAAAATATAGTTATGTTAAATATTTCGTTATTTAAAATATTTTATTGCATAATTTCGTTATTTTAACTATTTAAAATATAGTTATGTTAAATATTTAGTTATTTAAGTATTTAAATGATATATACAATATTTATAAATACTCATTATTTGAATTTAAGATATTTAGGTATTGAAATAATTAAATATTTTTCTATGTAATTATTTAGCTATTTTATTATTTAAGATATTTAGTTATTGAAATATTGAAATAATATTTTATTTTTTAATGTTCAATTTCTGTTTTTTGAATAGCATTTAATTTTAATAACCTGGAAAATCATAATTTATATTGTTAGTACATAATTTCGTGATGGTTTTGTAAAAATATAAAACTATTAATAGTATGAATATTGTTAAATCTATTATAATAATTTTTTTTAATAATTATTTTAATGTTTATACTAGTATTACATACTTTCATTATTAATCTTGTAAAAATATTAAATTATTATTAATTTGAATATTATGTTATGATTTTTTATCTTAAGTTTTTTTTAATTTTATCGCACAATTTCATTATTTTAGCTATTTAAAATATAATTATGTTAAATATTTCGTAAATAATATATAAAATATTTAAAAATACTCGTTATTTGAATTTAAAATATTTAGTTATTGAAATATTTAAATAATTAAATATTTTCTATGTAATTATTCTGCTATTTTTAGTATTTTATTATTTAAGATATTTAGTTATTGAAATAATATTTTATTTTTTAATGTTAAAGTTCTATTATTTGAATAACACTTAACTTGAATAATCTGGAAATTATAATTTATATTGTCAGTACATAATTTCGGCATGAATTTTGTAAAAATATAAAAATATTAATAATATGAATATTATTAAATCTATTATTCTATTATAATTATTTTTGTGTTTTTAATAAATATTTTAAAGTTATTATATAGTTTGTTAAAATATTTAAATAATTTCTAATTTTTTAACTTTCTTTAGATAGATATAGATAAAAAGTGGCCAAGAGAATAAATAGGAATTAGAGATAATTTGGAGAGAAATTCTCTAGTAAATTAGAGATAAGTTAGGGGATAAATAGAAATTAGGGATGATTTAGGAGAAAGTGGGGGAGGTAGTTTATGATAAATTTTAGGAGAGGAGATTGTTGGGGAGGGAGAGCATCTTATTAGTTCTTTAAAAAAAAATACATAGAATAAAAAAAATAAAAAAAGGAGAATATATATATATATATATATAGAGAGAGAGAGAGAGAGAGAGAGAGAGAGAGAGTGAGAGAGAGAGATGTTTGGTATGCTTTGAACTCCAAAGGGAGACCACATATATGTATGTGCATGTGCTAAGATTAAGGGCAACAACAACAACCTGGCCATTCTTCTCATGGTAAAACCCCTCGAATACCCATGTCTTATTCATTTGCATAGAGCTCTCAGAATTTTCTTTACAACTCATTTTGTCCGATACTATACCGGAGGCGATAGGAATAGCATTGTTCATCCAATGTGGACAAAGTTGGGTTTTTGAAAGAATTTAACTACATGTAATGTAAAATGTAAAATGATATTAGCGCATTGTTAATGGTGGAGAGGTCTTTGTCGGATGGATCACCCAAAAAGGGAGGTCTTAGTCCAATTTGAAATAAGAGAGGATGTTTCAGTACTTAGGAGAAACCTTAGAGGTGGTTTAGGCCTTTTACCCTGAAATTTATATCCAATAATTTTAACGGCACAAAACCTATATGCTTAAGGCTAACATGAAAAAAAAAATTGTCACTTTCATCCAAGTGGCAAGTAATCAACCATTAGGGTCAACCCATAATGGCATAATTAAACAATACACAATTAAAAAATAAATAAATATATAAAACTACAAAAAATACATTTTTTTTTTTGTGAATAAATGTCTGACACATCTCTAACATTATATATTTATGATATTAAAAAATAAGTATCACACATAAGAAGTATTTTTATTAATAATGATAATGAAACACAAAAATTTAAAACTGACCCCAAAATGAAACTGTTTCCCGTTAAGTGCTTGATCAATAATTCAACATTTTAGGTTAAATAAGTCAGCCCATGATGTCATAATTAAATAATAACAATTTTAAAAAGATAGAAACACAAAAATAATTAAAAAAATATAAAAATTTTATAGAAATATTTGTATACATCTCTAATGTTATGTATTCATCCTATCAAACAAAAATAAGTATGATAAATTAAAATTATATTTATCAATGATAGAAATAGAATAAAAAAGTAACTTAAAAAGAAAAGTATTTTTCCATCCTAGTGGTGGTTAATGGTCCATAGGAGTACAACTTGAGCAGACCCAACTTGAGGCTGGAATAAACCTAGTCCACAATATTAGATGGACTGAGCTTGGATTTTCAGTTCTTGGGTTGAGTCTAGGCCTGAGTCTGAAATTTGTTGTTGTTTTTTAATTTTTTTTTGGATTAGGCTCAGGCCTAGTCTTAAGTATCCTGAGCCCGATCCAACCACATACATAAATACATACAAAAACACATATTTGCGTACCACATATATGCACACATATTTTACATATACAAATATATACCAATTATTAGATCAACCTGAGCCTATCCTGGGGCCTAAGCCCAAATACGTCGTTAGTTTTTGTGCAAACAACTGTGTTCGCATAAGTGTTCTTGGCAATGCTCTACCACTCTGTCAATGACTTTTCAGGATTTGGTTCTCACACAACTATCCTCACAGTATTTTTATAGCTTTTTGCAGCTGTGCATTGGAAATATCTTCATGTTTGTATATATTTTTTACAGTGAGATATTCTCAATGCATGATTGTAAGGGACTGTGAGGGTCTTGTGTGGACCGATATTCTCCATGTTTGTAAAGGTTTTCCTACCCTTCCCTATCCTTTCCTTCAAACCAAACATATCCTAATGTTTCCGACTGTCCAAATTTCAACCATGTTTTGACCACCAATTCCCTGGTCAAATGGTATGACCATCTGGTCCAAATCCCAGATAAACGGTTCTCGGATTGCTGGACTCGGAGCCATAATCGGTTCCCAGGTACCATGGTTTCGACCTTAATCCAATCCATCTAAAATTGGGTTGGGTTGGAGCCCAAATCTCACCAATCTTATTAATGAAACACCTAATCCAACCGCTAACGGCCCAATACAGCCCAATGATATGTGGTGGGCCGGTGGGGTATAGGTCAATTCGTTCCCTTCTTTCATGTGTAGGAAGACGTGGCAAGAAAGCAGCGGCCCAGTTGCCTTTGGCCAGTCAACATAGAGGATGCATGCAGAACTCGAGTCCGGATCTGGTGCAAACAAGGCGTGTACAACTATTTATGAACCCCAATCATATGTAAACACATCATTAATCCGTACATCTGTAGTACTTCCATCGTCACCTCAGCTTAGGTGGCGTGGCGCCCCTTGATTCGCCAGAGGGAGATTGCTCTCCGTGTCTCCATAGTCCGTACCACTGCTCCCGCTCACACTGGAGGGTAGTTTCGTAACTCCAACAAAAGCTTCTTTCCCCTCTACAATGCCCAATGTCGAACTTCCTCCTTCCCCCTACAACTCATTCATGGTCTCAGCTCTGTGCATTAAGGAGCCCTAGTTTTTCAAAATTTTCGCTTCTATCTCTTCCCTTTTTCAAATTTTCCATTGTAAATATTCCTGATTTTTTCTCCCCACTCAAAGGCGAAGAAGAATCAATCAAGTTGGACTAAAATTGCAAATTGATCAGGATAACCAGCTACCGTGCGTTGAGGGTTCAGGTAAATTTCAGGTGAACCTGTTTGATTGATTTTCATTTTATTTCTTTACTTTTCTTCTTTCTATGTTTTGATTTATATGCTCAATTTTATGCCCTTTTCACCTGTGATGCTTTTAAGTTCGTTAATTCTGTACAATCATAATAAAAATCTCTCACCAAAGCAAAACAACCTGACTAAGATTACGAAGAGATTTTTCGTTTCAGATCAATACTTGGTGCAAACACAAGAATTTGTTGAAATTGATATGGCAGATGATGATGATTTCACCTTTTGTCAGGCAAGTTTAGTGTAACTCCCGTTGAATGGTTTTGCATGCCTGTAATCTGCTTGCATCAGAAAAACTTCATGGGAGTTCTTTTTTAGGTTGCTCCACCCGCAAATCAGGATGGTCTGGGAGCAGAGGAGATTCTTCCCAAGATTGGTGGTATCACTATGAAAGATAATCTCTCAAATAGCGCTGGTGTTAAACAGAAAGATGGTATTCTGTGGAAAGATCAGGCGTCGCAAAATGCTTCCTTTAAGAAGCAGGGAACAGTTGGTTCTTTGTCTTTTAATGTCACTGACACGTCGCCTCCAAAACCTTCGAGTGAATCATCAAAACAAAATGTCTCAACAAATGTTGGAGCTTCAGCCGGTGTTCCACAGGAACAGAAGACTGTTAACAGAAAGCCTGTAGCTCGTGCTAAGGTCCCTTTCGAGAAGGGGTTTAGCCAAGTGGATTGGTTAAGACTTACAAACACACATCCAGACCTTGCAGGTATTTGACGATTTTTTGTTTTTGGTTGTTGAAGTTAGTTCTAGAGTAAGGTTAGTCAGTTGATTAGTACTAACGAGAGTTCTGATTTTGAACTGGAGATGCGTGTAAATCTGTCTATTAATAGTTGTTTGAATAAGTTCGTATGAGGAACTTGTAGAAATAGAAAAGAAAAGATGTTTTAAAATAAAACACTTAATGGATTTTGAAAATGGAAATCAACCTTTTTGAGGATAAGTGTACTTTCCACTCCTTACTCCCTAGTCCCTACAAGTCCGCCTATGGTCTATGGATAGCTCTGATCCTAGGTTCGATCTATCAAGGATATATTTATGCTGTAAAAAAATCCCTTTAAGTTTTATCAAAAAAAAAATCCTTTAAGTTTGGAATATCAACTTGCAGAGATTCAGAACACACAGATCTCTTTATATTTAGACTACTAAAAAATCAAGATATGAGGCAGAAAAGTTAGATGCTTTCTTTGTTTTTTGAGAGAAAGGTAACTGATTTCATTAATAAAAGAGAAAGGTACACAAGAAGGTGTACAATTAAAAAGAAGGGAAAACAAAAAACAGGGGTCAGACCCTTACGAATTATAGAGAGAGTTTATATGAAATATAGTGCCAACATGCACATGGACCCTATCTTACTGTATGGATTGCTAAATTTCTGTAGAACCTATTAATAAAGTTAATTTACACTTAAAGCTTTAGAATGACATTCATCTGCAGATCTTTATGCCTAATTGGCAATTTGGCACTATCTTTCCCTGTTTCTTGTTAAAATTTTCCTTTTTGGTGTTGGCATTTGTTTAACTTTCACTTAAAGATACTGAATGGAGTTTCTGTGGCTCTGGCCAGTATAAATATTTCATCCCATGTACTAATGAGAAAATGCTTGAGACAATTTTATTTTTGGTGTTTTTTTTGTACATTTGTTTTTTGCTTCTTGACATTTTCACTGGCTCATCTTTTTGAAACTCTTTCAGAAAGTAACCTTTGGTTAATCCTTTGATTGAATGGTGCATTTCAGGAAGATCAATGAAATTATTATTATTTTTTTTTGTTGATAGGATTTAAGTGAAATCTTACATTGTTTTCATATTTTAGTGTTTTATTTCAAAAATGTTTTGCATCAAATGCGATCTGCACTTAAGGTTTGGTGTTTTGGAAATTTGGAAGTAGAAAGGCTTTATATGTTATATAAAATTATAAACATCAGAAACCTGGTGATTAATTGGTTCTCCTTAGATCTGGTTGAACCTTTCAAAAGGAAAGGGAATTGTGGGAAGGGGAGGACATTATTATTTAGAAATTGAAATTTAAAGGTTAATGGGGATCAGTCTGCAGTCAAAAGGCTTTTTAATTCTTTTGGTGACAATGAAAATTATTTTGTTTTTTTCTCCTAAAATGTCTCACGGTCAAGGGAATATATGTTGTTTCTTTACTGTATGGGATATCAAAATAATATAATATGTGGTTTTGTGGGTTATATTGCTTGTTTCAGGATTGAAGGGGAAGTCAAATAAAAGGCTTATATCTATGGAAGAAGTTAAACAACACCAAACAGAAGGTTCTGTTTGGACAGTTTTAAAAGGTCGCGTATACAATATATCACCTTACATGAAATTTCACCCTGGAGGTATGCATTAAATCACTCATTTTTTTCTTATTTTTGTTCGTAGTTACATGTTGATGGTTGGAGCAGATTTCCTGTTCCTTTAAAAATTCTAGAATACATGTTTTGGGTTTCAATCAGAATGATTGTTATTATATTCATACTTACTGAGTGTTTTTTATTGTTGTTGACTAAGAAATAAATTTGTAATATATTTCTTTTTTTTTTGGTGGTAATCTATTCCTATTTCCTATTTCCCAACCTTTAATCCGGTTATTTATCTATTACATTTTCTTCTTGGTCTATTATGCAAAGAAGACCCAAGGAAGCCAGTTCATTGTTGTTGTTTTTGTAATAAGATCATGTGAAGTGGCAAATAGCTTAGACATCTCCATAATAATCATAATTTCCTAGAACCTAACTTTTTGTCTTCAAATTTAAATTGCAATGGTTCTATCTATATACTCAACATGAGAGGTCTAACTTTCCTTTATAGATTCCAATTTAGACTCAGGAACTTCTAAGAAACAATTATTAATTGCAGTAGAGCTAAGACGGACCTTTATTTAACCCACAAGAACACACAATTATGGATTATAACTCATATAACAACCCTATATACCTACTATTAATCTAGTATTTAAAAGGTGTGTTCCAGGTGCATGTAAGTACACAGGAAAGGTATGTTTTTAGGCATGTGACTCACTTGATCTCAAGCAACATCACTTTCAAAATGTGCACTCTTGGTTTGAGGCAAAAGGGACTCAAGTGCACCACTTTGTAATTTTACCTTTTTAGTCACTTATTTTTTATATTCTGATACATTTTACACATTCATAATGGTCTATTAACTTCTAATAAACATAAAACAGAATGAATTGTGACCAAAATCATGAAACCTGTCCCCTTATATAACATCGTACTAGCTACTTGAACTGATGCAACTAGGAGATAGACAAACACATTATATAGTTGCAAAAGTGATGCCTAAGCGACAAGGCACCTATAGAGGGTCGCCTTACGTAAACATTATTTTTGTTAATTCTTCAACCATTTAAGGTTCTATGAAACTCTAGCGCCTTAAATAGCTTAAATTGAGGTAAGGATTTAATATTCTGTTATTTTGGAGATTATGCTGACGGTTTATGTAGCAGTGATGGTAAAGCAATGTAAAGAAGATGGAAGCATCTGGTTCTGCAGACAGTTTCAGTGTTTTTCCCAACTTTTGAGCAGTTGGGAAAATTATTGTTCAATATCAGCCAAAGCGGTATGGATGGTTAGATGGCAATCTGAGTGGTTCACTTTTCCAGTTCAATCTAGTTTTCAGAACATTTAAAGTTAAAAGCTGAAAGGGATTTAAAATTATATCAACATCTCACTCTAAAAGTGGATCTTCTGGAGCACTCTTATTTTGCTATCAGGAGGGGAGCCCCATGGGCTTAGGCTTGTAAGTAGTGTGGAGGATAGTTATCAGAGAGACAAATGCAGGATAACAGAGAAGCAAGATGGGGCTCAAGAAGGTCCATGCAAAGAAAAATTGTGTCACTAGGTGGTGCTGGTCTCTTCTTAGCTCCCCCCTTCCGTTCATTTTGGGGAAAATCAATTCTTTCCCACTTAAGCCACTTATTTATAATGCATTTTCTTGGAAATTGACTTCCCACCTTAAGGTGGAGTGCTTGCAACCAAGTGGAAGTACCTTGGATTTTTTGCATGTGGTTAGCCTGATATAATGCCCAAATTGTGTATCAGTTCTCCTAGCGAAGTTCCATCCAGAATGTCCAACTCTTGTATTGCCCCTAAGGTCCCAATTATCCTCCTGTTTTCTATGTTCTCTAAGCCATGCCACAAAAGGAATCACATAGCGAAGGCCTTTGTTAGAAAGCTAACTGAAAGAAGGTTCATAGGATTCTATATAGCAAGGGAAATGGAAATACTTGGTTAGTTCCCCACTGAAGATAGGATATAATGATCTTTTTTCTTCCATCCAAATGCACACAACAAATGAGCAAAAAAGAGCAAATGTATTACTGAGTAAAAAGAATTGGCAAACTAGCTCCAGGAATACTTAAAATTGGACCATTCAATATTGATGCTAATTGGGGCCTTATCCAAGCCTTATCCCAATTATATGGTGTTGGCTACATGGATCCTATGCATGTCTAAGAGCCTGACTCGGCAGAGATGAGAAAACATGGAATACAATACTTGACACTTGTACTTTTTGTCAAGTTGAATGCAATACTTTACCTTTTTTTCTAAAAAAGAAGGATGAGAAAACATGGAATCATGGACATGTCAATAGAAAAGTTTATACCATTAAAATTGTTCATATGTTTTGAATTCTAAGATTATATACCTGGAAAAGGGGGTCTGAAATGTTGCCTTTGATACATAAAATGACATTCATCTTGTACATTCATTCCTGTACCTTCGGACACTTTTTTCTTAAATAATGAGAAATCATAATTATACCACCGGAGGTGTTACCTGTTCAGAAGAAAAAAATGATGAAGTGTTGTAGTGTCAAAAGGTTCCAATGTTTCATTTTTTGGGCTTCTGTTTTGATATTCATTTATTGTTTTTCCCCATTATGGGCACAGTGATCACTAAGAGGGCCTATTCTTGTATCTTTATTTTTGGATTGATGTTTTCCCATTATGGGCAAGCTAACTGCCAAAAGGTTCTAATGTATCTTTATTTAATGATATAATAAGGGCCATACAATCATGTATGGTAGTGGTCTGCCATGTATTACTGTTGTGTATTTCTATCTGAAATTTAACTTATCCAATTTTCTTTAGTTTGCGTCACTTCTTAACCAAAGGTCAAAGCTCTATTATCTTCTTTACTTTCATCAATTTGTTCATTATTACAATTAGTCTGCAAGTTTCTTATATAACTTAAATACCATCTCTATTCCTGTCTTAGACTCTTGGCTAAGATTTCCATGTCTCATCTGGTTTTACAAATACAGGAACTGTATATTTGGACATCATCCTAATTTAACCTTCTCTCCTCTCAGGTATTGATATGCTAATGAAGGCGGCCGGAAAAGATTGCACTTCTTTATTCAGTATCCTTTTATGGGTTTATTGCCCTGTAGTAATGTTTTTATTTCACTAATCTTTTATAGGTTCTGTTAATCATTTTTTGCAGATTCATTGTGTGTATGTATGTATCTATGCATCTCTCCATCTATATATTTATCTATCCTTACATTTCATTCCAGATAAATACCACGCCTGGGTCAATGCTGAATTCTTGATGGAGAAGTGCCTGGTTGGCACTTTAGATGATAGCAGATGAAGGGCAACAAATTTTCAATCATTGGACAAGATTTTCGTCCATTTGTACTAAGCATAATAGACTCACTCAACAAGATGGTAAATTATACATGTCACTACATTATTTTTCATGCAACCAAAAGCTGACATGCACTCTGGGGAATAAATCGTCCTTTATAGAAACTAATAGCGTACCATTTAAAGACACAAAATAATTATTATTCTGGTAGTCCAGTAATCAATTTCTTTTCCATTAAACCCTAATTAAGCTCTTTGTTTCACTTTTCATGTCTCAGTAAGAGCATCTCCATTTATCCCATTAGATTATGAGCGGGAGTCTGAGGTCCCATTTGGTGATCTAAGAATGATAGGCAAGACTCCCACAGAATGAACACAGTTGCAATAATAAACGCAATGATTTAAATTTCAGTTTCGTACCGTATTGGCCTGGGTTGAAACCAAAGTATTCTTCGAAATTTTGTAAGAATTTTTATGTCAGACTGAAAATTTCTAGGAAAAAAAAATTTAGAGGATTCTAGGAAAAAACATAGTATTATTTTTATTTTACAGAAGGGATGATTGCTTGATGCAATAGTAAAATCTCGGTCTGACAAGCATGAAAACATGGGTTTGAGTTGAGGGGCCATTTTGTGCATAAAAATGCCAAATGTTAGGTCCATTATCTAATTTACTCCCAAGTAATTTTTATGTTGTACAAACTCTCCCTTTCCCCCCATTCTTTTCTATCTTGTTTTCATCCTCAACCCGTCTAATCATACCTCGTATAGTCAACTTAAATTTCTCATATTTTTATCTACTTTAGTTCCAAATTTAACAACATATTATTCTTTTGTTCTAATCACTCTTGAAAATTGGGATGGAGTCTCAAGGTATCCTTGCTTGTAGGTAGTTCCATGGTGAAAATCACCATGACATTCATCTACCGTGTTTCCTATGCTGACAACCAAACTATATCTTTGACCATTTAGAGGGACTGTTTTTAGACCATTCACAAATTTTATTTTAGGCTGCATTTGGTAGAGGTGTAAAATCGAAATGGGGTAAATTTTACACTCCGGTTTGATTTTGCAGGCATTTGATAAATATGTAATTTTACACTGAAAATCGTAAAATTACATTTTACCAACTAATTACATCAATAATCGATGTATTATTGATGTATTTATTACATCTCTCTCTCTTCTCCTTCCTCTCTTTTTTTCTCTTTCCGTTATTGCCGCTGGACCCACCTCCGCCTTCCACCTCTCGCTATCTCTCTCATCGCTGCTAACCGATGCTCCTCTCATTCCGGCTAACTCCAAGTTCCCGCTATAAGTCTAGCGATCTTCTACTTTATTCTGTCAAATTTGGAGTAGAAAACATCAACTCTAAGACAACATGAAAGCAAGTGGAACCTATGATTCACCACTGCTAACGGGCATGAGATTTAACGGAGAGATCTCCAATCGAAATGAGGAGAAGGAGAACGACAGGAACTAGAAAACAACTCCTTCCATCGGTGGGTTTCTGTGGATGCGGCTATAGGGTAACCGATGGAGGAGAAGGAGATCTCCAATAGTTGATGGGTTTGTCTCCCCCTCTCTCTCTCTCTGATAAATCTCCCGAGAAAACAGGGTAACCGATGGAGGAGAAGGAGATCTCCAATAGTTGATGGGTTTGTCTCCCCCTCTCTCTCTCTCTGATAAATCTCCCGAGAAAACAGGGTAACCGATGGAGGAGAAGGAGATCTCCAACGGTTAGGTAATAAATTAATTTAAGCCGTCGGAGAACACCGATGGAGGAGAAGAAGATCTCCAATAGTTGTTGGGATTCGTCTCCCTCTCTGATAAATCTCCCTAGAAAACAGGGCAACCTCTAAGGCTCTAACCAAATAGGACGAGTATAAATGGGCACAATGGCCGGTTTGTATTTTATACTCTCACCGAACCATCGTGTCTCAACTCCATCGGTGTAAGTGTGTATTTACACCGGAAACAAATGCAGCCTTAGGAAAAATTTCTGATTAGTACCTTGTCCTTTGGGCCTAGTGCCATTTTGGTCCCTAAACCATAAAACGTGACAACTTAGTACTTGAACTTTCAAAATGTGTCAATCTAGTACCTGCCATTAACTAGTTGTTAACTAGCCATTAAGTGGCATTTGAAAAAGACATACTTTTTGAGTGTCATCTAATTTTCTTTATAAACCATCTAAACATTGACAAGAAGTTAACAACCCCAAATCCTTGCCTCTTTAACAACCTAAGGGCTGGCTCGTTGGTGTGTTAGTTGGTTTGTTTTAGCGTTGATGTAGAATTGAATCCTGCAAACATCACTTTGTGGTGAAAGGGGGTTAAGGGGAAGTTATTAATGGTGCATAGCACGAAATACCAAAAAAAGAAAAAAAATCTTTGCCTCTTCTATTCAAGAAAATTGGGGTCACATCTCAGTGGTTAAAAAATTAGATTTAAATGCTTCTTAACAACTAGTTAACGATTGATACTGGATTGACATGTTTTGAATGTTTGGATACTGAATTGTCACGTTTTAAAATTCAGGGATCAAAGTGATACTGGACCCAAAGTACATGGTACTAATTAGGAAATTTTCCTTTATTTTATTTTGACCCTCTAGATGAATCTTATTAATTGAGAAATCACCGTCTTATATCAATTTCCAGCATTGAATTTGTGGCCATTTGGTAGATGCTCCATTGATCTCTTGAGACAAACTTAGAAGATGATGATGGATAATTAGTGATATCAAATCTCAAGATGAGTGAGAGTGTGAGACGGTAGATGTTGTCAAGACAGAATGAAATTAATAAGTTTAAGGTAACTGAAATGCTTATGTTGGTGATGATTGATGAGGGGGACCGTAAGGATCTATATTGTATACCATCAGAGGCCTACTCGTCTACAATTCTACCCGTGATACTGAGCCAAATCATGGATTCGTGGTGCACCACATCATCCTCATAAATATGTAGGGCCATTTATCTGGCTGATGTGGCAATTTGCCAATGCCGTGATTAGTATTAGACTATTAGTATCCCCCTTACCAAAGCGGATTCAATGTGCCATCTTGCTCAAGCTTCTCTTTTTAGAGCAAGGATTTCTGTACGCTCTCTTTGTTCCATCTGACATTTGTTCCATGATTCCATCATATTTCTTGTCGTTTTCGTTGTGATTTGTGAATCAAGAATTTCTGTACGCTCTCTTTGTTTTCCAACCTCTATTCTCTCAGCCTATCTGTCCCAAGATCGGCTTTCATTAGTGTAACTCCCATAGTCCCATTCAAATATTTTTACAGCCTTGCATTGGGAATATCTTCGTATTTATATGTTTTATTTCATGGGAAGATATTCTTGATGTAAGATTAAAAGAGGTTGTTCGAATGGTGTGAGCTTAGTGATGGGATCTGCTCCTTACAAATGGGCGCCTCACAGGCACATCCACCGTGAATAATAACTAATAAGTACAGGAGATGTTCCCAATGCATGATAAAATGTGCGTGTGAGGTGCCAGGTGTGAGGAGCAGATCCGATCTCATGCACATGGGCTTGCACTGATTGAAGCCAAACTCGTCTATAGCTCCACCTAACAACCAAATCCTCTCTTTTCTCTCTCCCTCTCTTGTGCTGCTGACAAATCCTTGCAAGAGTGAACTTTTTTGGGTGTTCAGAGGTAGGGGTGTCAATGGACCAGTTTTGGATAGGATTCCATCCAAATCAAGATCAATTTGAATTGATTGGATGGACCAATAAGACATATTGAATTAAACTAGTCCAAACTTAATGGTCCAAAGCATTTATTGGATTGGATTGGACCTGATCCTTCCATAATAAACTTATATTGGATTGAATCAATATCTTGTCCATCAAGAATACAGGTGCCAATGGGGTTTGAGTTAAAATCAATCTAAATTAAAACCAATTTTAACAGATTGGACAGTCCAAACATTGAACTGAATCAGTCCAAAATAGTTCAAAGTATTCATATGATTGGATTGGACCTGGTCCAATGGACTCATATTGGACTGGATCGGATTGAACTAAATCCTGTCCAATTGCACCTCCCTTAAGAGGGTCTCTCCATAGGGTGCACCCTGAGATGTCCCAATTGCATGGAAAGGATGTGTTGTGGGGCACGCTGTAGGAAGCCCTTCAGTGCTCGGACCGGAGACAGTAGTCCAGGAGTTCACATCTGCACCCCACAAGGGGGCGCCCCACAATGGCCCACAGCGCACCCCACCTGTGTATTGGAAGCATCTCCGAAAATAATACACATCATCACAAGATGTTCTCAATACACAGCTGAGATGTGCTGTGGGGCATTGTGGGGCGCAGATGTTAACTCGTAGCCCAGTCCCCACCCTTCTACGTGTTGCAGGGTTGCAGCCGGAAAGAAATTTTAGGAAGTATCCTTACAAAAGCCTCTCTTTAAGGGGGCAGTAGACATCCAATAGTTGAGACACCCGGCATGTAAAGTCGGACAGAGACATTCTAACGGTCAATTATACAAAAGCAGGATAGACCGACCATTGCCATAATACCATTAGTCCAGAAAATCTAATATCTTACAGGAACAACCCTGACCTGATCCAGTATGGGACCACAAAGAGATCCATAATCATCAACCCTTGTGTGGTAGAAGGAACTGTAGAATGTGATCCTTGTCCTGGGCTCAATTGCCTTGAACTTGAAACTAGCAGTCTTGAACCCACCCTTTCCATGGGATTCATAGGGGACCTTCAGAGTCTCTTTTGCAGCAAAAGCTTCAACCATCATGGATCCATGGCAGCCATTCCTTGCATCCCCAACTGTGAAACTGACACCGTATAATCTGTTGGGGACTGTTCTTATGATTTGGGCAATGGCACTTTCCCTCCCGGCAACAAGCTCCACTGCTTTAAATCCGTATGGGACATTGAAATGCGCTGAGTCTATGAACTTCACAGCTTTCAGGGATTCGATGATCCACCCAGGAAGTGGAGACGTGCTGTCCTCCTGTTTAGGGGGGAGAAGGACGCCATTGGTGGAGTTCTGTAGCAAATGGGGACCCTCTTCAAAACCACTATTCTTAACCAAGTTATCTGCAAGCAAGCATGAGAACATTGCTCAGACTGAGAAACAGAATATCCAAATTGGGACCCGGAAGCGAGGTGTATATGTTATGAAGAATAACTGAACATACAATGCACTCCACAAGATACCCAGTGATCTAGCTCAGAAGATGCTAATAATAGTTCAAAACCACAATCACAAAGATACAGAGTTGGGTTCCTTACCTTTAGTAGCCATTGGAGGAAAGAGCTCTTTAATGGCAACTGCATCCAAGAGAGGCCCACAAGCAGGATCCTCCTGAATCCCTGGGTTGTGGAATATGACTTTGGCGAACTTAGAGGTGGCTCTGAATCCCCAAGCATAAGTGTCACCTCCATTGCTGCTGTAGAGTGTTTGAAGAGGGAGGTCCCCTGACAGAGGAGGAACTGAGACCCTCAAAACTTCATCCTGGGCACAGGTCCTTGAAGCACCGAATGTGAGGGAGTAGAGAGAGCCTGGTTTAACTGGGATTGTTTGGGAGACTGAGGCTTCATTGCCAAGCCTCACGGCATGGATGCCGTGTGCGACGGCGAAGTACATGCCACCTGGTTGTGGCCCCCCGGAGATGTACTCAACCAGGCCATTGATTTCCCACTTAGGCAGCGAGTTCTTTCCCTTGAGTACTGTTTTGTTGAGGTTGGATGCACTGGGCTTTTCTTCAAAATTTCCATTTGGGAGAAGTCCTGGAAATACAAAAGAAACAGATCAGCAGAGAATATAGAAAGAGCAAACAAATGCAAAGAAACTAAAGACATTCCGTCAGATCAACACAGTGGAGAAGAAGAAACTTGAGAAACTCAAAAGCAGAAAAGCAGCTTCCATTATCAATAAAATCATAATGAAATCTCAGCTCTGGAAAACGGTTTAGAACACCAAAGCATCACAATTGAAATGCAACATGGAGCCACAAACTCCGATAGCAGAATAAGAGGAAACACAAAAGCCCCATCTCAAAATACTTGGATTAGATCTCTACAATGCACATGAGAAAATGAAAACAGAAACCCAACACAGTAGTAGATGATGAAGCCAAACTAGATGGCTGGTTCTTACCCTCTAAGTAGGTAACTGCAAAAGCAGGGCTGGTGAAGAGCAAGGAGAGAGCAAGAAAGAGGGAGAGCCACACCGCCATTTCCTTAGAGCAAGGAAGTAAGGAAGGGGTCTTAGCTGGGCTCAGGATGGAAGAAACACAGAGCTTCTCTGGTCATTATATAGAGATGGAGAATTCACCAAATGGGTAAGGCAGTTACACTACAGAGTAAGGGAACTTAGGAGCTTACTGCTTAGCAAAACAAGAGCGTGGAGGTTTGGAAGAAAAAGGCAGACCAGAAATCACGTTGCAGTAGATTTGTCTGTTTGTCTCAGTGTCTCCGGATTCACCTTTTGTCCATACTTCATTGCTGGGAGTCTGGGACGTGTACACTGTATAGAGGGCAATCAAGTTAAAATTATGAGGAAGTTTGCTTAAACTTTACCTCAACAATCTAAAATATTTCTCGCTTTCTGGACATAAAAACTTCACTGGTTTTAGTAATTGTGTGATTAGTTGGATCTTCGGTGATTCATCTAAAGTTGAACAGTTTCTGTTTGTTGGGTTGATTCTGTTTCTTTGACACCAAACATGGCCAATGTGGAATTAAATGAACGATACCTCATTTCTTCTTGATTCAGTTTCTTGGGTTTATTCTGTTTTACCCCATAAAAGAATTCAACCCCCCCCCCCAAAAAAAAAAAAAAAATAAATAAATAAAAAGAAACCCATCAAAGAACGCTCCTTCATTCGAACTGTCAAACAGTAAAAGGAAAGAACATTTGTGTGCACGGTCAAGCAGATGACGTGTCCCACGTGCAGAGGTATGAAGATAAACTGATAAAGCATAAAATGGATAGATATTGTCTGCAAGATAGCAACTATAAACGCATAGGATTTTGACACTATTTTGGGTTTAATTTACAGAAATGCCATCATTGTTCTTATTGTTGTACTCCTCTCATACAAACCAGTCTATGAGTAGATCCCAATTCTTCTATGAATTCACTGATGCAGTAATTTTCTGGACTGAACTGTTAATATGGATGATTACATCGTCCGATTTGATGCTGGCCTTGGCTTCTGGGTTATCAGAGAGGTCTTAATTTTGTGGGCCGTGGGCCTGGACGAAAAAGTAGATATGATTAGATGGTGTAGATCTCTGGCCATGTCATGTGGAATGTGATGAAATAGCATGGTCTTCACTCCTGTGTGTTTCAAGACTGGGAACTGAAGTTGATGAACAGGAGATAGACCACCGTCCAATTAAGCCACTGGCCCACAGCCCACAATTCAGTCCTGGTTACTTGCATCTCTTTTGGGTTGTCTTGCCTTTCAGGTGGTCTGCCAGTGACAAAGTTTGTACGCTAAGCACATGGGTAAGGGCTGAAATCCAAGCCCAGGGTCCTCCATGTCTGAGTTGAGATCAGATCCCTAAGCTCACAAAAGAATGAATCATTTTTACAGAATGATGCTTAGCTAGGTTTTCTTTATGGGACCCATCAATCCTTGATATCAAAGGCATCTCCACCAACACTTACTGGAATCAAAATTTCAACAAGTATGATTAAGTATGATTGTTACATTAGCTATGATTCAAAATTATAGTTGGATCTTTCTGTAGACTGTAGCTTGGTAACATGGTGATTATACAACCGAAAATTAAGAGACAGGAAAAACCCTAACATGATCCAGGACAGGCCCACAAAGGGTGCCATAGTCATGAAGCTTTGTGTGATAGAACCCACTGTAAAATGTGATCCGTGTTCTGGGCTCAACTGCTTTGAATTTGAGACTCACAGTCTTGAACTTGCTACCGCCATGGGCTTGGAATGGGACTTTCAGGGTCTCTTTAGCAGCAAAGGCTTCGACCATCATCGATCCATGGCACCCATTCTTGGCATCTCCAACTGTGAATGTGAGGTTGTAGGATTTTCCGGGGACTGTTCTTAGGACTTGAGAAATGGCACTCTCTCTCCCTGCAACCAATTCAATTGCTGCGAATCCTGATGGGACGGAGAAGTGCTTTGAATCTATGTACTTCACTGCTTTGAGGGACACTACAGTCCAACCAGGGAGTGGGGATACATGGTCTTTTTGTTTGGGGGGGAGGAGGACTCCTGTGGAGAAGTTCTTGAACAAGTGAGGCCCATATTCAAAATCGCCATTCTTAACCAAATTACCTGCAAAAACATATAATAGAACAACCAATTGTAAGCCTTTTCTGTTATTTTGGGGGGTTGGTAAAATTTCTTCTGAAATAGAAAGAATATTTTTCTTTTTTGGTTATGATCCATTTCTTCACTGTATTTATCTGTTTGATCTTGATTTAAGATCAATGAGATGGAATATAGAGCTCACCAGGTGTTATGTGATTGGAAAGTTACTCTATAATGACTTTGAATCTCTGCCACACAAGCGTTTGTTGAATATTGAATATACTCTTTAGTCTGGACTGATCAATTAAGTAGTTTTCTTACCAAAAAGGCAAAAACAGATAAACTAAATAGTTTTTATATCATGTGCAACTTCCAATATCAGAACTAATTACAGATAAATGAAACAAGGAGAAAGCAACAAAACCAAGGATTAATAGAAGTTTACCTCTAGTGTGCAAGGGAGGGATGATTTCCTTGATTGCAACTGCATCCAGGAGGGGGCCACATGTGGGGTCCTCTTGAATCCCAGGGTTGTGAAATGTCACCTTAGCAACATTAGAAGTGGCCTTGAATGCCCAAGCATAAGTGTCACCTCCATTGCTGCTGTAGAGTGTTTGCAGAGGGAGGTCCCCTGAGAAAGGAGGTACTGAGACCCTCAAAACTTCATCCTGAGCACAGGTTCTGGTAGCACCGAATGTGAGGGAATAGAAAGATCCTGGTTTAACAGCCACTGTTTGAGAGATAGAGGCCTCATTGCCAAGCCTCACTGCATGGACCCCACGAGGGACGGCAAAGAAGAAGCTCCCTGGTTGGGGCCCACCTGAAATGTATTCCACTACCCCATTGATTTCCCATTTGGGGAGTGAGTATTTCCCTACTATTACTGTTTTCTTCATATTGGATCGACTGGGCCCTTCTTCGAAGTTGCCATTTGGGAGAAGTCCTGAAGACAAAATGAAAAAAAAGTTGAGGAAGAGAGATGGAGGAGACACTAAGACCACACTAAGCAATGTCGAACAGTTGGAGCAACCAAGTTTCTAGGAAACAGATGACCATCTAAAGAGATTGTAATACCAAAGCTGTAGGAAATTGAAAAAAAGTAAGACTTTGCTGCAATACTTACCATCTAAACAATTGAGCAGAGAGAGAGAGAGAGAGAGAACCAGTTAAATAGAACAAGGTAGATAGCAGGAACCTAAACAATAGAGCAGGCAATACTTACCATCTAAATACTTTGCTGCAAAAGCAGAGGTGGTGAAGAGGGAGAGTAAAACAAGGCAAACAGAGAGCAACTCTGCCATTCTCATTTGCTGAGAGGAAGATGGATACAAACCAAAGAGAAGAGAGCTCTTATACATGGAAAAGAGAGACACTGAATGGATATTTATACTGGAAAGACTGAGATGAAATAAAGTGATTAAAGAAAAAAGAAGAAGGAATAAAGCAGAAATTGAAGCTCAAGACTTCTCTCGACAATTATTACCACAAAAAAAAAGAGACTTCTCTCGACAACTCGAGTAATGTATTTCTTGGAGTCTTGGACCCCTGTTACTAACAAAGTTAAAAAGAAAACGAAGTATTTCATGGACCCACCACCACCTGTTAATTAACAAATCTAACGTCAAGAACCTCATTGTTTGCCGTGATTAGCTCATTTTCAACTTTGAACTTCTTTTCTGAGATCAGAAATTTTGAACTTCCTTCTTTTATGGAAAATTAAATCAAATATTCTTTTTTTTTTGTTGTTGTTGTTTTGCACATGGTGCTCTGATATTGTTTCTTCCCTTCACATTCAGTGACATGATGTGTATGTTCTGCATTCCTATCAAATGTTTCACCAACAATTCCAAAATTTTGATTTCTTAACTGCAGACCATTAAGAAATAGTCAGGACCATGATCTAAAAAGGCAAAACCTTTATATGGTCTTCATTGTTGAGTGTTGACTGTGCTATTCTTTCTATTTTTGCCTATAATGGATTTTTGATTGCATGGTTGGGATTGGCTGGAATGTTTGAATCTCATTATCAAGGGTCAAAATGAAGGCTAATGGGAACCCATAAACGCTTCCACCAATTTCGGTGGAGAGAAGGTAAAACCCTGCCAAGGATTAAGATTAGAAGACAAGGCAACTACATTTGAGTACATGGAAGGACAATTTATCATTCTCATTTATTTCTTTCAAAATTTTTTTTTCAAGTGACATGTGCTAGATTGGGACCCATTTAGAACTTTGTATGATCTCGATAAACATGGCAATCTTTCAAGCTGTTCCTTTTCTTTTCTAATTTTTTATTAATTTAATCCTGTATTGAGCCTCAAACAACAAATAATTTACTAATTGTCTAAGATTAGTTATCTAGGATCTCTTTCATGTACAAAACGAGAGAGATTTTATTAGAATTGGGAGCAAAATAATTGCTTTCACATGATTACAGGGAGCCACACCTCTTCATCGCTGTCCCTGTACAATGGGTCTATATGTGTATATGTTATATTACGAGTTCAGATCTACGCCCCCCAACGTCACACAGAATATCCCCGCTGTATATTGGGAACATTTCTTGATGATGATATCATCGGCTCTGATAATCATTGGGAGATGATTCTAGTACACGGTAGGGATGTGTTGTGGGACGTTTTGGGGTGCAGATGTGAACTCTTATATTACCAAGTGGTGATCCCCATGTGATGGGGAACTCTCTCTGTCCCCCTCTCCATCTCATGAGGTGGGTTCCTACGAGGGGGGATAAAGGAAACGGGGAAAATTACCATTCTTGGGCTGATTGGATTTTTTTTTTTGTCTTTTTTTTTTTCAAATGAAGCACAGTCCTATTATTACTCAGAAAATCAAAAGATGTATCCTTTAAGATAAAAATGCTTCCAAGGCTCAGTTTGGAAGGAGTACAAAAACAAATAAAATAATACAAAGTACATAGTTTTGTGCTCTACATATTTGTCTTTATACTCTTTCTAAATGGAGCCTTAGGGAGGAATATATAAATACAAATATATAGAGTGCAAAACCTTATATTTTGTATTATTTGTATGTATTTATACTATATATATTTGTATTTGTATTCATTCCAAATTGAACCTTCTACATATTTGTATTTATACTCCTTCCAAATGGAGCGTAAATGTTAATGTTTATGGTGACAAACAATATTGTCTTTGGTCTTTTAACTAGGGTGTATCTTGTTTATCAGAAATGCAAAAGGGAATATTATAATTAAAAAAAAAACATTTCGCTTGCTTAGTAGGTTTTGCGAAATGCATCGTTTCGGTGTCCAACAAATCAAGCTTAAATTTATCGAACTTTAAGTATTGGAAAAGAATAATAATTAAATTAATTTAGACTTCACCGGATGAATGGGTTTTCTTCTCTCTCTACACTATTGCTACCTGCTGATTGGTAAGTTTTGCTTGTCATTAATAGTCTTTTCTGTATGATCCTCTTTCTTCCTTTATTTGAGTTTGGGATTGGCGATATAAAAAGTTAATTACTTAACTTAGGTGGCGTTTGGTTGTGCTTTTCAGACATTTGAATATGAAAACGTTGTTTTTTAGATGCCACTTTCGTTTGGTATGCTCTCTTATTACTGATCTGAAATCCAATTTCAGATCTTAATTCGTGAGAGGTGGGGTGGGTCTTTAATGCACTCAGATGTAATTCAGATTTGTGTAAAAGACATTAATATCCTCAATAAAATTTTAATGGCATGGTTTGTCCCTCATATAACTCAAAAATTAGGTCATTCGAACCATTTCTGTGACCTAAACAAGCTCCACCACTATCAAGCTCTCTTCAAACCCTCTCTACGACCTGAATAAGCAATGGCGGTTCTCTCTCTCTCTGTCTTCTTGCCACCACCACCGCCGCTGCAACTTGCAGCAATGGCGGTTCGGTGAGTAATAATAATTAATAATAATAATTATTATTAATTATAAATTATTTTTACTAATTACTAATTATTAATTATTTTTTATTAATTTTACTTGTGTTATCTATTAATTATTAATTATTTTTATTAACTAGTAATTTTTAATTATTTCATTAATTTTTAAAAATATTTTATTTTTATTTGTATAAATTATAAATTATTAATTATTTTAATATTTTTATAGTCATTAATTATTTTTTTTTTAAATTTTAACCATTTTATTTATTAATTATTAATTTATTATTTATTATTTGTATTGTTTCAATATTATTTTGAGGTTGAAAATTATTTTTTATGAGATAATGCAAATTGAACTCAACATTTCTAAACAATATGTTATATGAATAAAATAATAAAATCAGTAAATTTCATATGGTAAAAGGTTGATCCAACACAAACAAACTTAGGCTCAATTTAAAAGGAGTGCAGATACAAATATGTATAGTACAAATACATACAAAATAATATAAAATGTAAGGTTTTGTACTCTACACATTTGTATTTGTACTCCTCCCAAATTAAGCCCTATGGATTCAAAACCTTTAAAAAGTAGAAAAGCACAACTGTTTCTTTTCAGATTTCAAACACAAAAAATATCTTTTTAACTTTTCAGATTTATCAAATGCCACCTTAGATTGAAGAAGGTATTACCCATAAAATTAATAGGATGAATAAAATGGTTAGTGCATCTGGAGTTTTATATAATAAGAGAATACCAGTTAGATTAAATGAACTAATTGCAAGGTCAATTATGTTTTGACAGTCAAGAAATTGTTACCGAGAAAGACAACTTGGGGGGGGGGGGGAGTTGGGGTTTACAAATTTAAATTGATTTGTCTCAAAAAATGGTTCTAACGAATGAAAATCACTATTGATATACAATTAATGAAAATGAAGAGAGACAATAAATTCAGTCTCAAGTGAATGCTTAGATATGAGTTGTGAAAGTAAGTATTAAAAGAAGCACTAAAACATGCACGTTACTTGAACAAATTAAATGAAAGAATAACAAACAAATAAATAAAAAGAAGAGTATAAATATATTTATAGAGGTTCGGCTATCACAACCTGTGCCCTCTTGTCAAGGAAGTCCCCTTGAGAATTTTCAATCCACTACAAACATTGGCTAGTTGATATGGTCCTAGTCACACCAGTTTGCTTTTCTCTTTAGGCTGCATTTGGAAATAACGCAAATGAAGTGTAAATTCCAGTTTAGGATAAATTCGTACTCTGGTCCATTTTTGCTTTGTTTGGTAACATTATGTTTTTGTATTGACAAATGAGAGACCACTGCATATTTACATTGATAATAAGATGTACAAGTATATCAATAAAAAAGAAGCAAATTTGCATTCCAGTGGGCTTTTGATAAAAAAAAGCATATGTTTTATTGGAATTTGTGTTTGCATCCATTACAATTAAAAGTCTATTTGGTAAGAGGGTAAATTTGTTAATGCAAAACTAACCCAATTTTACAATTTATATGAACAGTTTTACACTATATATTTGCATTCACACATATTTACATCGTTTCCAAACACAGCCTTAAGAACTTGTTGCAGCACCCAATAATTGATTCGTTGCAGAACCCTTAGCTAATGCATGTCATTTTTACATTCCATAATAGATAAAAAAACCTATTCTCAATTTTGAGTGCCTTGGTGATGCATTTGGTTTGCTCTTTTTCAATCTTTACTCTAGGGACTTGAACACCATTCTTTTACGGATCAACTTTTTGGATATACAATCTTGAACCATTTGATTTCATTTGGGTTGTAAATACTAAATTTCACATAATTAGTATCAACAGTCAAAGTGTGTTTGTTATCACCTATTATAATCTAATCTGCACTTGAATTCTGTTAGAATAAGGATTGGAGAAGTAATAGAAAGACTAGAAGAAGAAGGAGAAGAAGAAGAATTATGGTTCGAACAAGAGAGATTAATCACCTCTCTAATCGGCCAGATTTAATTTTTATGTTTCTACTTAAAAACAAAAGGACTCCTTTGCCCCTACTTAAGTATGGGGCACAACCACTAATAAAACATTATACATTAGTAGCTTTAAACATAAATATAAAGACCAAAATACCCCTACAGTCGACATTAACATCACCAAAACACATATAAGTATATATGGGTCATATACCCTGGGGTCAATAGAAACATGTCAAACAATAAATAAATAAATAAATAACTAAACATGATAGAAATGTGAATGTTTAGATAGATGAATAGAAAGGTAGGGTCGTAAATGAAATCATTTGAAGGAACTTGTGTGTTATTCCAATAGGTGATAAAATGAGAGAAGGTAGATTAAGATGGTTTTGTCACAAGCATTGAAGGCCATTGGCAACACCCTTAAGAAAAGTGATATTATGCAAATTGAAGGGACTAG